CAAAGTTTAATTTTAATTGATAAAAATATCGAAAATTGGGGCCAAATTTAATAAATCGATAATTCAATTATTTTAAAAAGACGAATGGCCATAAGGTACACGCATTAAATAAAATTCTTCAAGCTATTTGATTACTAAAAAAAATAAAATTAGAAGTTTGAATTATACTTCTTTCAATCCTGAACTTTGACCTTGTCAACCCCTACCCCGCCTAACAAATAATAAATAAATAAATAATGGGATTTAACAGTGGATTCCACAGAGTGGCTCTTCTTCCACTGGATTCCCGCGATTGGAATTTAGAAGTTGATTTTTACGGAGGGAGGAAAGCCGAGGGTGTGCCGAAAACCTGGACCTAGGCCATGGCCCTACCTATGGCCCTATCTATGGCCTACCTTTTCCCCCCTTAATTTCATCTAAATATTAATCTTTTTCACAGTTGAATTTGATTTTAAACAAAACTGATAAACAAACTGATAAACAAATAAATCCTGAACATCAACATACATGTACACGTACCGTTGACTGGCAGATAATTTTCGAGCATGTGTCAATGCAATTAAAAGTCTTGTGTAAGAGTGAATAATCAAACAAATCCACCAGCATGCAAACTTGTATGTAGACTCTTTACTAAAAAAGAGATCAATATCAAATCACTTTAACTGCAGTTTATCCCGAAAGAGAAATGAAAACAATGAAATATAAACATATGAACTCACCTCGTGCTCGAAAAGTCAAGAAAGACAAATCTGCTGACTCATCAAAACAACTGGCTCAAATGAATGCACAGGAAGCCCAATATTAGTTACAATAAAAGTTTGGGCTCCTGTCGTACTAACAAGATAGCTGTCGGGCTGCCATTGTCAGCTAAGATTCTTTCAAAGGATTTCTGGCAATAAATACTGCGAAAAAGATTGATATTTCGGAGAATTTATGAGAAATAAAGGTAGGCCATAGATAGGGCCATAGGTAGGGCCATGGCCTAGGTCCAGGTTTTCGGCACACCCGAAAGCCGATGAACCCGGAGAAAAACCCTAGAAGCTAGCACAGGAGAGTATCAACAAACAACTCTACTCACATACAATTTGCTACTTAGCATGTACCCCCGGAATATTATTTACTTTTTATGAGTTGCCTTACACACTCTAACAAATTTCTTGTAGATGGATAGTTTAACCTTATAACTGCGATAGATATATCAAGTAAATTCCAAATGAAAAGTAATATATTGCCACGTGACTGTAATTTTACTTATTGTTTTAATCTTAGGTGAAAGTCTGTGGTGGTAATTATCTGTGCCTGACACCACTTTCTCTCACTCAATATCCCCACTATCTGACTGCTGGACATCCACCAAGTTCTGACAAGTTTACTGCCAAGTTGGAAAGGGTCGATTCATCCCTTCTATTAGATGATAATAAGGTAAATAAATCTAACATTCTGACTTTGTTTCCTTTGTTTTAATCTCTGTATGAGCATTTGACAGGGCCGTAGACACCGGTACGGTTAGTCCGGTCTTAACCGGACCAACTTTCGGGGAACAAATATGAGAAGAAGAAAAAAAATGCAAGAAAAAATTAATTTTAAAAAAGATACAAAAAATTGAAAAATAATGATTAGAAAAAATGTAACTATAGCTTTTAAACACACGTCACGTGATATTGATGTCATTGTGGCGGGAAATGTGTGTGAGCCGGGGTTTGTCGAAAACCGGACCAATCAGAAATTTGTGGCTACGGCCCATTTATTGTTAAAGTACCTGGCAAATTGGTAGGAATGGATAATTCATTAAACATAGAAAGCCATTATGATAATCACTGGCTACTATATGATAGATGTTTTGAATTTTTTAGAGATATCATTGGAGAATTTTCTGCGAGGATGACTCTTTGTTCAAATGTAAAGCGGTTCCAGAACTTTTCGAGGGTTACGTTTTGAGAAAAGAGCCGACCATGAGCAATGGACATAGTCATGTATCCTTGGCAAAGGAAGGACCCACCTCAGGACTATGGAAAATTCATGCTGCAATACCAACTGATGCCTACGTGTAAGAGCATTCAATTGTAATTATTGTATTGTACTACTGTGGATTTTCCTCCCCACCACAGCTCCATCGATAACCAACCAACCAACCAACCAACCAACCAACCAACCAACCAACCAACCAACCAACCAACCAACCA